GCAACATTCGCATATTTGCGCTGAGATTCAGTCCATTTGCCTCAATGAAATCTAATAAGATACTCAATTTTATCATGGGGATTTTTTATTATTATTATTATTATTATTATTATTATTATTATTATTATTATTAATATTATCATTATTATTATTATCATTATTATTATTATCATTATTATTATTATTATTATTATTATTGTTGTTGTTATTATTATTATTATTATTATTATTATTATTATTATTATTATTATTATTATTATTGAGACTTACATTGCTTATCTGCTCTTTTATTTTATTTCAGTACGTCAAGCTTATGTCAAGCGGATTGTTTAGGATCTATTGTGGTCCTATTCGTCTAGTCACATCTAGGGTGTACTTTAGGTCATGACTTTCATTAATAGAAAATAATGAAAATATTATAATTTTACTTTTCTTGAAGAGTTTCTATAATGAACAACCATCACGTGAGAGTAGTGATATACAACGTCTTTTACATATTGATAGAGGAATCATATACCTTACAAAGGTAAAGCACAAACTTAGATAAACTTATAGATCAAATCTCAAGCCCTTACCAAGAGCACTCTGAGGAGCCACCTTAATCAACAGGTATGATCTTATCCTACACATATTGTCACGGTCCAAAGTATACCTTAGGTCTAACATGGCGTATAGAAACCCGATAGACCCTACACAAGCCACCTAGCAAACAATTACAAGATAATAGAATTTAAGTAATTCAAAAGAAAGCATTTAATTTTCAAAAGAGTGTCACAAAGAAAATTTGTATATAAAATCTTTTGCTAAAGTGGATCCATTACGAAGATCATTTAAGACAATTCTACGGGGGCACGTTGAACTAGAGGTTGCTACTATAGACTATCATGTTTGAGTCTCCACCTCAAAGGTTTTTAGGTTTTAAGTCTAAATCTCAATGAAATAAATAAAGATCGATATTAATATACATAGGAAAGACAATGATCAATACCAATTCACATTGTTAAAGATTGAAACATAGTGTAACTAAATAACCTTTCACTAATGTGAACCATATGTGAGAAATACCTTTCACAATCATGATTATAATAACTTGTGAGAAAACCTTTCACATTGATACTTTCCTTTCAAAGCATCCCCAAATCATTTGCAACAATTTCATAAAAACTAAATATGCATACTTTCAGAAATTCGTAGTTCATAGGTACATGAGTTCATCATAGGTTCATGATTGAAAATCATAATATAGGCATGTGCCAACAAAATTTCAATTAAAGATAATTTAGTAACATTTAATCATGCATTAGAAGACGTAATTAACAATGATCAATCACAATTGGATGAAACCCATAGAAATTAGATTGAAACCCTAAATTAGAAAATTGAGATTGACAAATTGGAAGCTTTGGTGGCCCCATGGGAGAATGGATTCATGGGTTAATAACCACATACCTTGATGCTAAAATCCCAAGGAATGATGAATTGGGGACTTGAAATTGAATCCTAGCTTCTTCCTCTTCCTCTTCCTCTTCAAGTGAGGATTAATATTTGGTCTACTTTATTTGAGTCATTATAACGTTGGATATTGACATGTACTTATCTTGGGCATACATTTCATGTTTCTAAGGCTAGGGACCGAGGTGTACGACTACACAACATGCATTCATGCCTTAAAGGCTAGAGATCAAAGTGTATGCCTACACCGCATACATTTCATGCCTTTAAGACTGGGGACCAGGTTGTACAGCTACACCACATGCATTAATGCCAATGAGGCTTGGATCGGGGTGTTCGCCTACACCACATGAATAGTTATTGTCTTGCCTTTGAGGATATGGAACGAGGTGTTCGCCTACAATACAATGCATTGCATTGCATTTCATACTCTTGTATGTGGTGGCATGAGTTTTTGTGGTCAATTGAGTACAAAACTCTTGAAGCTTCGTAAGTTGTATTCATTATGGTGATTCCACATGACTCATGAGAAGGTAGGTTGGTTGCAAGTTATTGGTGGCATAGAGTTTATTTTTCTTGATTTATTTATATTGTTCTACTATTTTATTGCCTTTCCAAGTGTGTGCCATCGTATGTGGATTCATCAATTTGTAGCAGGGCTTGCACTATAGCTACTATGCAGGATAATATGAATCTTTCTCGTATTCAAGCTCTTCCGCAGAATTTGGAAGAGATCTAACGACAGCTATTAAACATCAAAAGATATGAAAGGAAGCAACATCAGAGGTTAAGGCTAACCAATTTTCAGAATGACGCTAGGTCAAGATATCATGACTGACCACCGTTTAAGATGTGGGGTGATCGTACTGATTAGTACAACTCACTGGGAGAGGGTGAGAGTTCTAAAGTACTCAGGACCTCAACAAAAAAGGGATCACACACGGCAAAACCCACCATAATGTTTGTATAGTAATTTTATCACATTTAAATTTTGCAAGAATTAAGTTGAACACATTTTATAATACAACCTTGAGAAGAAAAATGTGAAAGAGAATAATTCTTTTTATATAAATATCTATATATTAAGTAAAAAATATTCCACGCATTGTTTACTGCAGTTAAATAGGCCTCAAACAGATTATTTTTAGATGAGCATTTGAATCTCTGAAATAATATTATTTGTAGATGAGCATTTGAATTCCTGAATTAATATTACGGAATAAGGATGATAAAGAAGACTTACAGCTCTATAGGTTAAGGAAAAAGACTTTAAATTCATATATGATACACAATCTACATACATGTGTCTCAGTCTCCTCTTTAAACTTTAACGGATGAAACTTGTCCGTATCGGGTGTTTATATCAAGTCAATACATATATGTCCATGTGTTTAAATTTATAGTTCATTTTACTCTATTAAATCACATACTAATCGAAATTGTATTGACTTGATATAAATATTCGGTGCGAATACAATCGATTACAAAATGTAAGATGAATTTAATTAAAAAGGAAAGAGAAGAAAGATAAATAAAAATAATAAATAAGTACAAAAAAGGAAATATAAAACTTGCATTTTAAATTGCATTCAGTGCGAAGATTTTACTTGCATTTTTGTATTATTATAAGAGTTGTTTAATTGTAATTTTAAGTTGTAGATATACTTTCAAATTATGTGAATTTAAATATAATTTTTAAAATTTATAGATAATATATTTTTGCTCGGATAAGTCAAGTTGAATTTATTGTTAAAGTTTTGAGTTAGCAAAAGTAATATTGAAAAAATTATGTAGATTGTTTTAGAATTCTATCCGGAGGATTTTAGAATGGTTAATGTGTTGAATCAATCAGAATTTATGTTCTTTATTTCACTTAAATGCTAAAGATAATCATGTGAATCAACTAAAGAAAATGCAAAAACAAACACAAATTTATCGACTTGTAATTTATGGTTACTAATGTGTTCAAACTATGATATACATATTTATGAATAAAAGTTAATTTATGTATTAAAAAAAATTCAATTAACTCTTCACGTTGTTAGATTTCATCCGGAATCAATTCAATTATACATATATATATATATATATATATATATTAATTAATTATTAGTACATTTTTAAAGTAGTCATAATGATCATGAAAATTGAGCTATATATTCTTATTCAGTTATTCGATCATAAAATATAACACAATTAAAATATTAAATATTAGATGATGAACTAATTATTATTGACGTCCATTACCCATTTAATTCTTCAAGTTAGATTTGATGCTCCTTACAACTTAAAATTTTATGATAAATGTGTCATATTTGATACACTAATTAAAATCATACAAGAGTATACTATATATTCGAGTATAAGTATAACGTAATGTAACAATCCGCTAGATCGTTTTGAGAACTAGAACTATTTTGATTATTTTCGTAAAATTTAAATTGAAAACTTTGAAATATTCTATGACTACGAGTATCTAGTTGAGAAATTTTTATTGAATAATTAATACTGTTAATAGTTAGTGGACAAGTCCATAATTCCTTTAATACCCCTTTACTTTTGGCCCAGGTAACTAAAATATATTAGTGGAGCCAGTTTAGAGAAAAAGGGAAAACAAAAAAGCTTGAAACTAATTTGTGTGGCGTAGAATACAGAGCGAAGAGGAACGGAGAAACAAATACTTCAGGTAAAAAGTTTTCCTTAGCCAACTATAATTTCTGTAAAAGTGCACATAAGTAATATGAATTGTTGGCGTGAAAGAATATATTGATAATGTATTATTTTGTTGTCACTTGGTATTGAGAAGTTTGAGAAAATTTAGTATATTTATTAGGTTGAATGGGATGGTTATTTAGGTAATAATAATCATTAGACAATGATTACATAAATGAAAATCAATGCAGGTTTGGGGGTTTTGGTTTCCGTCTATAGCGTAGTGCAGAAGGGGTTTTCTAAAATCTCTCTTTTATTACATTAAAATAATGATTTCAAATAAATGTCTATGGTTTAGTTTTTTTAAAAGAAAATTTATAGAAGTAAAAATGATTTTCTACGAATCTTAGCCCAATCATTGGGTAATCATGCCAATGATTGGCATTGGTAGATACTTTTAGAAAATTAGGCATTTTTGGTGTAACGTTGAAGACTTCCTGTGTTTTGCGTAGTGCTGTTAATTAGTAGAATTAATTCTTATTTTAATTATTTATCACATTATGATATTAGTTTTGATATATTGAGATAGGTAATTAATTATTAGGTGTATATTATATGATGTAACATTGAATTTTTGGATATTTTTGAGAGAATAAGGTTAAATTCTTGGCTTGAAATTAAGCAAATATGATAAATTTGGTATATAAATTATATCAAGATTTGGAGATTGATTTGAGATATGATTGAGTTTTAGGGTCTATGATAGACATATATTAATTTGAATGTCTACAAATTCATTTATTTTCGAATGTTGCATAATTGGTAGATTGGGAATGTTCCGAAACATAGCAAAAAGAGAAGGAAGTATCTTGAGAATACGTGGCACGAGTTTGGCATTTTAAGGTTTGTTAATACTTTTAGACTTGTTGAAGGATTTTTTCCTAATTAAAGATTAAAAAATAAAATAGGCAAAGGGGTAAGGGCGAAAGATAGGGGTCTCGTATCAATGGTGCGACGGGCATTGGTACGAGTATTGGTGTTATAAGGGGAAAGTTATTACTATAAAATGCTAAAGCATATGGGCATTATTCAATATATTATTGACTTGAATTCCTTGTGTGATTGTGTTTTCTTTATTACACCCGTATAGTTGTGATAATTGAGATGGTTATGTATTATGTTAATATTTGACTGATTGAGGTGTATCATCATCCCCTTATTTGAAATATATTGTGCACACGCATTGACATGAGATTGAGTATAAGTTGGATACGTGAAGATCGTCCGAGTTGGGGAAGGTAAGATGTAAAGATTATAATTTGAGCACATGAAGATCGTTCGTGCAGAATTTGTTTGATGTTATGATAGTGCATTGAGATCATCCGCACAGACTCTTGGAGATCACCCATGTCATATATGGACCTCGCGAGTCCCCTATGGTTCATGAACTCTCGATGTATTTCTGAGAAGTATCATGTATATACAGTTGAAAGAATACTGAGTATTCTGAGGCATATCATTTCATCGTATCATATTGCATTGCATTTCAACACATCCTTCATTCTTGATGTTTATGTACTTTATTTGGTGCTTAAAAAGTACTTGATGTTTGATTACCTCTATTTGATGAAACTTGACTGGTAAGTGTAATGTAGACTTGTATAATTAAAGAATTGATTTTTCTTATATAAACTCCCGTCAATACTTCTTTGTTGTCGTTCAATGAGATATACTGGGTACACATGATTTCGTATTCATACTACACTTGTTGCACTCTTTGTGAAGCAGATTCGATTCTGAGTACGAGCACATCTCTGGAACGATTTGAGTTCGAGTTTGAAGTGCTTTGGAGTTGTGGTGAGCTGCTTGGTTGTTCCGTGGCCCAAACCTCCCTCTATATTTTACTTATTATTTTATTTAGTATTCAGACAAGATATCTCTTATGTTGGATTGGTCATTTTTTAGACTTGTATTGTATTTTAGAAATTCTTGTACTTACGACACCAATTCTTCGGTGGTATTTTTAGCTTTCTGCAAATCATACCTATAAAGAGCTTCATGTTGGAGATTTACACTTAGTGTTTACCTTTTTCTCACTATTTAGTTAAATTTAGTAAATATGTTGGGTTGGCTTACCAATTGGTTGACAACATAGGTGCCATCACGACTTGTGAATTTAGGTCATGAAAATTTGGATTCCAAGCCCTAGGTTCATCAGTCTCACGAGTACAGGAGAAATGTCTAGTAGAGTCTTGGAGATTGGTATGATGACATCTATACCTATCTTTGAGAGGTTATAGGACATTTAGGAAAAGTTTGTTCTTTCATTCATTATCGTGCACACTTGACCTTGTTGAAATTCCAATGTTGATATCTCATTCTCTCATATGTCGAGGACTCGTACGTCGGCAAGTGATGGTCAGGACTTTATTCTTGTAACTGCTTCTAAAAGCACTATCTGAGGTAGAGGCAAGGGACGATCTCAAGGTCGAGGTCGGGGTAGGGTCGTATTGCAGCACTTGTGGAAGGTCAAGTACAAATAGCTACCCTGGGTTGTGATAGGACCATACCTCCTAATGCAGATGTTATTCATGGGGATGTGCAAGATCTTGTCGAGGGGGATGAGACAGCTCAGGCTCTACCCAATATTATTGCCACCCCAGTGCTTCAAGATACGTTGGTTCGTAGGTTAAGAATCCTATAAGATATGGCCCAGGCAGAAACTTAGCATGTCACGTTTGATGGTTCGCAGACCCATGTTGCAGGTCAAACTCTGGATCCGATAGTTGATCCAGATTCCCAGACTCCCATGACTCAGCCAGCTGCTGTTGTAGCTCTCCATTTGGATAGTATGAAATTTCTAGGTTTTGCATCACATTTGGCGAACATGTCTTCTATGACCATTGATGAACAAAAGACTTTTGGATGGTTCAGACTAATGAATCCTCTGACTTACACTGGTGAATTAATCGAGGATGCATATGAATTTATAGTTAGATGTCATGAGAGGTTGCAAAATCTTTTATTAGTGGAGTCTCATGGAGTTAACTACAAAGAAATTTAGATGACTAGATCTGCCAAGCAGTGTTGGGGATTATATTAGTAGTATGCCAGATGGATCCCCTCCACTATCATGGACTCAGTTTACTCAGGTATTTCTACCCAAGTTTGTTCCACGCAGTGAGAGGGAGCGTAAGAGGGCTGAGTACGAGAATTTGCAGCAAGATGGTATGTTAGTAGAAGAGTATCAGGGTAAATTCCATGCCTTGGCTAGTCATGCTTCGATGATTCTTCCCACAGAGGCTGAGAGAGTGAGAAGGTTTGTTAAGGGGCATATTATTCCGATTCATCTGAGAGTTTCTCAGGTTACTGCTTCTGGTGTTCCGTTCCAGAAAGTGGTAGATGTTGCTAAGGAGTTGGAGATGATTCGACGTGAGGGATTTGAGCAGCGTGAGGGCAAGAGGACCCGTTACTCAGGATATTATGGTGGTGTTCTGCTTAGGATTCCAGGTTAATAGGGAGAGATTATCCCTCTCAGTCCAGCAGACCCATTCATGATGCTATACCAGCGTCTAAGGCTGGTTACGCTGGGCATAGTTCTTCGAGCAGTATATACTTCACAGGGTTCATCTTCTAGACCTGTAATTTATGGAGGGCATTCTGGTCATTCAGGTTCAGCTTGCATCTCGTAGAGGTTGTTTTTAGTGTGGTGATATGGGACACCTTGTGAGAGACTGCCCTAGGACCAGATGTGGTGACTTACATCAAGGTTCCCAGGCTTCGACTTACAGGATTGCACAACCTCCAGCTAGGGATGGCGCATAGAGTTGTAGAGGTGGTTCTCTTTTAGGTAGAGGTGGTTCTCGTTATGGTCGAGGTGGTGGTCGTGGAGGTTCACAATCTGAGGAAGGTTCTTCTCACTGTTATGATTTTCCGGGTAGGCCAAGAATTATCAATACAAGGTATCAGTCATCTATGAGATGTTGTTATCACAGGTACTATTCTGATTTGTCATCTACCAGCTACAATATTATTTGATCATGGCTCTACTTATTCTTACGTGTCCACCTATTTTACTTTTGAGTCTGGATATATTATGTGAGTCTCTTAATTTGCTGATACATGTTTCTACTCTTGTCGGGGATTCTGTAGTGGTAGACCGAGTATATCGATTATGTATTGTTACCTTGATGGGATATGACACTCATGTGGATTTAAAGGTCTTAGATATGGTAGATGTTGATGTGATTCTTGGTATGGAATAGTTATCTTCTTACCACGCAATGTTAAATTATCATGCCAAGACAATTACTTTAGCTATGCCTGGAATTCCTATAGTAGAATGGAGAGGTTCTCTTAGTCACCCTCGTAAGGGTGTGATATCATTTCTTATGGCTCTCCAGTTGGTAGAGAGAGGATGTTTGGCTTACTTACCACATTCGAGATACTAGTGTTGAGACTCATATGCTTGAGTTTATTCCAGTGGTGAGTGAATTTTGGGAGGTATTTCTGACGGATTTTCCGGGTCTTCCACCTGATCGTGATATTGATTTTTGTATTGATATAGATCCAGGCACTCAGCGTATTTCCATTCCTCCTTATCGTATGGCATCGGCTGAATTGAAGGAGTTGCGGGATTTGTTCAGCAAGGGTTTTATTAGATCGGGTGTATCTCCTTGGTGTACTCCAGTGTTATTTGTGAAGAAGAAGAAGGATGGATCAATGCATATGTGTATTGACTATTGACAGTTGAACAAGGTAACCATCATAAATAAGTACCCGATACCTCGTATTGATGATTTATTTGATCAGTTGTAGGGTGCTTCAGTTTTCTCGAAGATTGATTTGAAATATAGCTATCATCAGCTGAAGGTTAGGGCGGAGGATATCTTAAGACACCTTTTCGAACACGTTATGGCCATTACAAGTTTTTGGTGATGTCTTTCCGATTGACTAACACCCCTGCAGCTTTTATGGACTTGATGAATGGAGTGTTCATACCATATTTTTAGATTCCTTTGTTATTATCTTCATAGATGATAAATTGATATACTCACGCAGTAAGGGGGAACATGAGCATCATTTGAGGATTGTGCTTGGGATTTTAAAGGAGAAGAAGTTTTATGAAAAGTTTTCAAAGTGTGAGTTTTGTCCTAGTTCGGTAGCATTCGTAGGACATTTAGTGCCCAAGGAGGGTATTATGGTGGATCTCAAGAAGATTGAGGCAGTTAGAAATTTAGACCTGCTTTAGTTACAGAGACTTGGAGTTTCTTTGGCCTTGTAGGTTACTTACTATCAATGGTTTGTAGAGGGTTTCTAATCCATTGCATCTCCATTAACTATATCAACATACAAGGAGGTGACTTTCCATTGATCTGACAAGTGTGAGGCTAGTTTCCAAAAGCTCAAGACTTTATTGAATACTGCTCCAATTTTGGCCCTACCCGTGGAGGGAAAGGGTTTTGTTGTACATTGTGATGTTTCTCCGGTTTGCTTGGTTTTGTATTGATGCAGAAAGGAAAGGTGATAGCTTATGCTTCAAGGAAGTTGAAGGTTCATGAGAAGAACTACCCTATTCATGATTTAGAGTTGGCGGTTATTGTGTTTCCATTAATTATTTGGAGGCATTATCTTTATGGTGTGCATTGTGAGGTGTTCATGTATCATCATAGTCTCCAGTATATATTCAATTAGAGGGATCTCAATTTGAGGCATCAGAGGTGGTTAGAGTTTCTAAAGGACTACGACATGACTATTCTGTATTATCTAGGCAAGAAAAATATTGTAGCAAATGCCTTGAGTCGAAAGGCAGTAAGTATGGGTAGTATAGCCATGTTACAGGTTGGCGAGCGTCCTTTAGCAAGGGATGTACGATCCTTGGCCATTAGCTTTGTGAGACTTGATATTTAAGAATTTGGTAAGGTGTTGGCTTATATGGAGGCTAGGTCATCCTTGTTGGAGCAAAATCTTCTCAACAATTTGATGATGGTAATTTATGTAAGATTAGAGACAAATTGTTAAAAGGAGAAGTCAAGGTGGCAATTCTTGATAGTGAGGGAGTTTTGAGGATTAAAGGTCATATTTGTGCTCCTCGAATAGGTTATTTGACTATATTAATCATGGAAGAGGCCCATAGTTCGAGGTACTCTATTCATCCAGGGGATACTAAGACGTATTGTGACTTGAAGCAGCATTATTGGTGGTGTTGTATAAAGAGGGATACAATAGATTTTGTAACCCGGTGTTTGAATTGTCAGCAAGTGAAGTATGAACACCAAAAGCCTTGAAGTATGACTAAGAGGATGCCTATGCCTGAGTTGAAGTGGGAGCGTATGGCTATGGACTTTGTGGTAGGGTTTGCCACGTACATTGAGTAAGCTTGATGCTATATGGGTCATTGTGGATCGACTTACTAAGTCTTCACACTTTGTACCAGTTCAGACTATCTATAACTCAAATAAGTTAGACAAGATCTATATTCAAGAGATAGTTCATTTACATTGGGTTCCTATATCTATTATTTCATATTGTGGCACCCAATTCACATCTCATTTCTTGCGGTCTATGCAGAAGGAGTTGGGCACTTAGATGGATCTCACTACAGCCTTTCACCCTCTGATTGATAGTCAGTCTGAACGGACTATCCAGGTTCTTGAGAACATGTTGCGAGCGCGTGTGATTGACTTTAGTGGTCAATAGGATTAGTTCTTGCCATTAGCGGAGTTTTCTTACAATAATAGTTACCATTCGAGCATTGAGATGGCACTATTTAAGGCCTTGTATGGTAGGATGTCGATCTCCAATTGGTTGGTTTGATCCATTTGAGGTTAGACCGTGGGGTATGGATTTATTGAGGGGGTCCTTGGACAAGGTCAAATTGATCCAATATAGACTTCTCAGGACTCAAAGTAGGCAAAAGAGTTATGTGGATCGAAAGGTTCGTGATTTGGAGTTTATGGTTGGAGAAAGAATTCTATTGAAAGTTTCACCCATGAAGGTGTGATGAGATTGAAGAAGAATGACAATTTGAGCCCAAAGTATATTGAACCTTTTGAGATTGTGGAGCGTATTGATAAGGTGGAGTATCAGTTAGCTTTGTCACCTGGTTTGTCAGGTGTACATCCTGTATTTCACATTTCAATGCTGAAGAAGTATCATCAAGGTGGTTCTCACGTGATTCAAGGGGATTCAGTGTTAGTTGATCATAATTTGACTTTTGAGGAGGAGTCGATTATCATTTTTGATAGACAAGTTTGAAAGTTGAGGTTGAAAGAGATTACTTGAGTAAAGGTTCAATGGAAGCATCGTCCAGTGGAGGAGGCTACATGGGAGACCGAGTCAGACATGAGGAGAAGATATCCTCAGCCTTTTGAGGTTTAGGTGAGTTCTTTTCTTTTTCTGTTCGAGGACGAACATTTGTTTAAGTGGTAGGTGATGTAACGACGCGCTAGGTCATTTTGAGAACTATGACTATTTTGATTCTTTCTGTAAAATTTAAATCAAAAACTTTGAAATATTCTATGACTACGAGTATTTAGTTGAGGATTTTTTATTAAATAATTAATATTGTTAATAGTTGGTGGAAAAGTCCATAATTCCTTTAATACCCCTTTAATTTTGGCCCATGTAATTAAAATATGTTACTGCAGTCAGTTTAGAGAAGAAGGAAAAACAAAAGAGTTGGAAACTAATTTGTGCGGCATAGAATACAGAGCGAAGAGGAAGGGAAAAATAAAAACTTCAGGTATAAAGTTTCGTTTAGTCGATTATAATTTCTGCATAAGTGCACATAAGTAATGTGAATTGTTGGAGATTGATAATGTATTATTTTGTTGTCACTTGGTATTGAGAAGTTTGAGAAAATTTAGAATATTTATTAGGTTGAATGAGATGGTTGTTTACATAATAATAATTAGGAGGCAATCATTAGACTGTGATTACAAGAATAAAAATCAATGCATATTTTGGGTTTTGGTTTCCGTCTCGTAGTGTAGTGCAGAATGGGTCTCTTTTATTACATTAAAATAATGATTTCAAATAAATGGCCATGGTTTAGTTTTTTAAAAAGATTTATAGAATTAAAAATGATTTGCTAAGAATCTTAGCCCAATCATTAGGTGATCATGCCAATGATTGTCATTAGTAGATACTTTTAGAAAAGTAGGCATTTTTGGTGTAACGTTACAGACTCCCAATGTTTTTCGTGGTGCTGTTAATTAGTGGAATTAATTCTCATTTTAATTCTTTATCAAATTAAGATAATAGTTTTGATATATTGAGATAGGTAATTAATTATTAGGTGTATATTATATGATGTAACATTGAATTTTTGGGTATATTGGAGAGATTAAGGTTAATTTCTAGGCTTGAAATTTAGCAACTATGATAAATTTGGCATATAAATTATATCAAGATTTGGAGCTTGATTAAAGATATGATTGAGTTTTAGGGTCTATGATAGACATATAATAATTTGAATGTCTACAAACTCGCTTACTTACGAATGTTGCATAATTGGTAGACTGGAAACGTTCCAAAATCTTGCGAAAGGGAAGGAACTATCTTGAGGATTCGTGGTACGAGTTTGGTATTTTAAGGTATGTTAAGACATTTAGACTTGTTGAAGAATATTTTCCTAATTAATGATTAAAAAATGAAATAGACAAGGGGATAAGGGCGAGATGGGGTTCTCGTGTCAAAGGTGTGACGGGCATTGGTACGAGTACCGGTGTTATAAAGGGAAAGTTATTACTATAGAATGTGGATTGAAATTTGAGAATACTAAAGCATATGGGCATTAGCTGAAATATTATTGACTTGAATTTCTTGTGTGATTGTGTTTTCTTTATTACACCTGTATAGTTGTGATAATTTAGGTGGTTATGTATTATGTTGATATTTTACTGATTGAGGTGTATCCTCAACACCTTAAATAATATTGTGTGCATTCATTGACTTGAGAATGAGTATAAGTTGGGCACGTGGAGATCGTCTGTGCTGGGGATGGTGAGATGTAAAGATTATAATTCGGGCACGTGGAGATCGTTTTTGCGAAAATTGTTTGATTTTATGATAGTGCGATGAGATCGTCCACACAGACACGTGGAGATCGTCCGTGTCAGTATACGGACCTCGCGAGTCCTCTATGGGTCATGAACTGTCGATGTATTTCCAAGGAGTATCATGTATATACGTTTGAGAGAGTACTATTTATTCTGAGACAACATTTCATCGTATAATATTGCATTGCATTTCATCACATCCTTCATTCTTGGTGATTATGTGTTTTGGTGGTTGAAAAGTACTTGATATTTCATACCTCTATTTGATGAAACTTTACTGGTAAGTATAGATAGACTTGTATAGTTAATGAAATAATTTTTCTTATATAAACTCCCATCACTACTTCTTCGTAGTCGGTCTATGAGATATATTGAATACACAAAATTTCGTACTCATACTATACTTGTTACACTCTTTGTGGTGCATATTTGATTTCGAGTACAAGCACATCTCGTGGAGCTATTCGAGTCCGAATTTAAAGTATTTTGGAGTTGAGGTGAGATGCTTGGTTGTTCCGTGGCCCACACCTCCCTCTATCTTTTACTTATTATTTTATTTAGTATTCAGATAGAATATCACTAATGTTGGATTGGTCATTTATTTTCAGACTTGTATATTTTAGAACTCTTGTACTTATGACACCAATTCTGGGATATTATTTTTAGCTTTCCGCAAATTGTACTTATAAAGAGCTTAATGTTGGAGATTTACGCTTAGTGTTTACCTTTTTCTCACTATTTAGTTCAATTGGTAAATTTTGTTGGATGGGCTTACCTATTGGTTGGGAACATAGGTGTCATCAAGACTTGTGAATTTATCTCGTGACACATAATTATTTTTAAAAAAATTGTCGCTCATCGCGTGGGTACGTATACTAGTTATTATTATATAAGGTAGACTTCGTTTAAAATAATTTTTCTATTTATAATATATATATATATATATATATATATATATATATATATATATATATATATATATATATATATATTCCAACCTAATACTATGTCGTTTTACCTTCTATTAGACACCCTATATAAAATGTTAACCCCTAATTGAACACATTTTACCAAGTTTCCAAAGTTGATCAAAGTTCTTTTTCAAATATTTGTCTCTTTATAAGATTGAAGAAGAAGAAGTCTAGGGTTTCAAGGTCAAGTCTCCAAATTCACAATTGAATTGTAAGTTATTGGCATCAACGTATAGTAGTATATTCACCTATGAAGTACTTTCCTCCATAGGGTTTCTAAATTCTCCAATATTGTAAGGTAGAATCTTTAATAGAAGTCAAGCTTTTCTTCAACTGACATAGGTTCTTTCAATATTGATCTAATTAATTGTTTTAAGTCTTTTTATACATGAATTGAAGTAATTGCATGTTTTTAAGTTAAATCCCGATGAACTCGTGTGAAATCCATGTTTTCTAAAATTGATCACATGGACAAGCTTTTGAACTATCAAAAATGAGTTTATAAAGATATGTATGTTCTTAATAAAATTGATGAAAATGGATTTATGTTGCTTTGAGAGTAAAGCATTCATGTTGTTGTTGTTATTGTGAAAGGACTTATCACATACAAATGAAATCATGATTGTGAAAGGATCCTCACCTAAAGGGTTTACAAGGTTGAAAGATTGTGTCACATAAGATGAATCAATGTTGAATAGTTATTTAATGATAAAGAAAGTGGTGATTAGCCATGTCCTTTAATCATAAAACAAGTGGTAAATACCCATGTATCGTGAATGTTAAGATAAGATAAGACTAATGATTATTTTATGGGATTTACGCTTAGCACCGAGTGGACAAGTGGTCATTACTCATGTTTCACAACTATGTGTCACCATAGGGTGACTATATACACATTAGCTAGTGGATTCACATAAATTAGAAGTTCATGGTTCTTACCTTGTAAAGTAAGAACACCTCTTTTTGGTGTGGGATAGACATCAAATTCCATGTTATAGCTTACATAGACGTCATGTCGATTAAAAGTAAATCTCCTACAATAATGAACTAAAGATACTTCAAGATCTCACATGTGTTTTAAGATGATTTCTACTTGAATTGACCATGATCACAATTATTTTTTCTAAGCCCTTTATCTTATGTATAAACTTGGTCCTTGCATGACATGAAAAGTCCTTTTAGCATGATTTCATACTTTTATGCATTGTTATCATGCTTGTTGTATTAACGCGTACTCTTGTCTACGTTGTTTCACTAATTTAGGGTCTGACGCACCTGTTTTGCATCTCCATGGCTAGAGATCACTTAGTCGATATTAAATATTGGTGAGCCCTCCTGTTCTGGGAATGGATTCTTTATTTCTTATTATCTTTACTTTTAGTAATAATGCGAAGTGTGGGTTACGTCCCAATCATTTTTTATGTAATAGATGGCTTTGAGACTGCCAGACTTCTGCTACATTTTATAAACACTTTTCTTTGAAATTGTCTTTTGAACTTTCTTGATTTTTTATTATCTTGTATGATGTATGCTATATGTCGTGTGTACGACCTCTTTGGGGTCTTATACCTCATGTTATGCTTAGGATATGCTTTGGATCGTGACGATAAATGATTATTTCGTGGGATTTATGCTTAGCACAAGTAGAAAAATTCTTAGCACAAGTAGAAAAGTGGTGATTACCTATGCCTAATAACTATGTGCCACCATAAGTTTGTCTTAGATAGACATTAGATAGATGAATCAAAGCTAGAATTTTATGGTTCTTACCTTGTCAAGTTTGAACATATTTTTTGGTGTGGGATAGACACCATATTGTTCGAGATTAAATGGTCTATGTCGGTTCAAGGTGAATCTCTCACAATTATAAATTATGTTTACTTTTAAGAATTTCTCAAATGTATTTTAAAGATGTTTAGCTTTCATTGAACATGGTTACGACTTATGTTTTCTAACATGTTATTTTATGAATTTAGATTGGTCATTGCATGTCATATAAAGTCCTTTTAGCACAATATCATAACTTTTATGCATTGATATCATACTTGGTACATTTCATGTACTAACACATACTTGTTCCTACATTGTTTCACTAATGTAGGGTCTGACGCTCCTACCTCTCATACTTGTGGCTAGTGATCCATATAAACATTGAAGATTGGTGAGTCCTCATGTTTCGAGGATCAAAATTTGTCTATGCTTTCATGTATTTTCATTTTATATTTTGTATGCAAAGTATGAGTTATGTCTCAATATTTTTCTTATGATGTAATAGATGAGTTTGATACTTGTGATAGACTTTCACTATATATTTTGTCAAACTCTTTGATATATGAATGCTACTTTTAAACTCTTTTAATTTTCTATTATCTTGTGATGTATGCTAAGTGGCTTATGTAAGACCTCTCGGGATCCATGTTACGACTAGGGTGTATTCTAGGTTGTGACAATTTAATACCTATACTATGTTGTTTTTCCTCTATTTATAAGTCTTATAACTACCTTTCAACCCCTTATATGCCTGAACTCTTTCATTCTCTCAAATCCCCAAATCCCGTTCAAGTTCATTCCCTCCAAATTCATTCCCGCTTCAAGGAAGAAATATTGGGTTCAAGCTTTGACTCATATTTCCTTCAATTAATTGGGGCTTTGATCATCAAGGTATGTGGAAATTTAACAATGAATTATATTCATCCATTGAGCCCGAAAGATCACCAAGTTTTCGATTCAATTTCATCAAATTTGATTAGGGTTTGATACAATTTTCCATTAGTCATGTTTGTTATGATTCAATTGTTTGATTTTAATCTTAGTATGCATTACTTGACTCAATTACATGTTTTTCAATTGTTTTCATATGGAACCATGCATGGTACATGTTTATGGTGATCAATTTATGAAGAAAGTTATGAAATTATGCATAATGATTTATGAAAGTTATGCATGATTTATGAAAAAATAGATGTTTTATGAACTAAGGCTGATTTATGATAAACATCAATAATATTGTGAACTATTTTCTCACGTATTAAGAAATCATGATTGGTGAAATTTTTTCTCACATGTATGAATCATGATTTAAGGAGCTACAACTATGATGAATTAAGATTGAATTAATGACTTAATTGTGTTTGTACAAGTATAATGATATTAATATGACTATTTTGTTAGGATTTTACTTAGCACCGAGAGGATATTGAGATGGATGCTCTCCCATTTGTACAGTTTGGGTCTGTAGTATCAATATCCTTGTTCCTTCTATGTGCCCTCATAGAAATTAATTTAGAAAGACATAACTAGTGGATTCACCTAAGCTAGAAGTATATGGTTCTTGCCTTGGCAAGTAAAGACATTTTTTTCAGTGAGGGAGCAAGACACCAAATTTCATGTTATAGTCCACATGGTCTATGTCGGTTAACGGTAAATACCCCACAAAATGAACTAAGTTACTTCCAAAGGTTTTATGAAGCTTTCATTATGCTTTAAGATGCATTGACCATGTTCATCATTTATGATTCTTCCTTAAAGGCTATTTAATATGTTTTAGCTTGGTCATATATATCATGTTTTTCCTTTATGTTCCTTTAGGACCATATTTCACATTTTCATGCATTTCCCAATAGTTAGTACACTCCATGTACTAATGCATACTTGTGTCTGCATTGTCTCTTGATATAGGTTCGATGCTTTCTCTACTCTCACTCATAGCTAGATACGGATTGCTATCTTTTTGCTTGGGATTGGTGAGTCATCATACTCAGAGGCAGGCACAACTACAAATACCTTACTAATTTATTCACCTTTATGATAAGACTTTTTATGTGGTGTTGACACCCAATTTTGGCCTAACACTTTCAAAATTCATAATTTTTTAAGTTTATGTATTTAATAGTTCAACATACATATTTTTTTTATAATTTTAAATGATTTTATCAATAATCATCCTTATTTATCAAAATTTAAGAGTTTTTCAGTTAATCTTAATTACATTTTTTTTCACAATTTGTTGAATATATTCAAAAAAAATTATTTATTTGATTAACTTATTACTTTTGCTAAATTAATGACATTAATCATGTTAATTATTATTATTATTGTTATTATTATTATATATATATATATATATTTGTTAATATTCATTTTTATATTTTACGCAATTTAAAAAATCATTTCAATATTACGGGTGAATTTTGCTTACGGAGATTGGTCAATAATTTTGAGCCACAATTTCGAGCCCTTAATTTGAGTCCATTGAATAACAATTCACTGTTTAAGAAACAAATAGGTCAAAAGCTAAGGGTGGTGAATTTATTTTAGGGTGTAAAAAAGTTGCAAATCTTATCCCCAAAATTTCACTTGTCAATCATTTTTTCCAGATGCCACCACCCTCACCGGAGCATTTTCTGGCGAAGCAAAAACCCCCATCATTTTTTTTTTCATTTTTCAGCAAACAATAACCTTCAATACTCTGTTTCCAACGAAAAGCCAACAACAACAATAACGATTGCCTGCATTTTCTCTGACCCAAATTGCCTTTCACGTTTCCCTCTTCCTCACTGTTTCTCCAGCTCCGGCTAGACCACGCCAAACCACCATTGAAATGACCCCCCATTTTCCTGTTCTTATCCGCTGTTCTCCACCAGAGAACCACCCAAACACCACCAGATTTCAACCCTCCAAACTATAACAAACCAACCACCTGAAACAAGCTACCAAGAAGCAGCTGGAACAGCAACTAAAACAGCCAACAACCATCACCAAATCACCACAAATCAGACCCAAAGCTCTAACAATTCTTCCTTTCTGTTAGACCTGTAAACTGAACCCAAACCCTTTTTGTTTCTTTCCAATTTTCAGCGAAACGCAGACCAGAAACACCATAACCAGGTCCTTAAATTTCGACCAAACGCTATCTCCGGCGAAAACTCCATTAAGAATCCACCCAACAAATATCAATTTCATAAAGTATTTTCTACTCTAGTAAAATAATAAAAAATGTTTCTCAAAAATATTTTTTACTCATAAATTAAACACTAAAAATCATTTTCAAAAAATATTTTCAACTCACAACCAAACATGAGAAAACAAATCCAAAATCTACTTATTTTTCAGGAAAAAAATTTCTAGGAAAATATTTTCCATGAAAACATTCTCCTTCGTACCAAACACACCTTCTATTTATTAATTTTTACAGCATTTTGGTTCGTCTATTTGACTTTTCATTTTATTTTTGTATGTTTCTGCCTTCCTGATATAGATTTGTCCAAATTTAGTATCTTCTGGAAAATGGCATTTGTGATTATTTGGATGATTCATTATTTTATTCATTTTTAGTCTTTAATTGAAAGTTTTTATATTGAGTTGATTGTGTTTTTGTTTTCATTCACCTTGTCTTATCCAGTAATTAATATCATCATTTTATTATTTTTGTTAATGACTTTCTCTTTATTGTGTTTACGATTTCTATTTATTCTAATTGAATGGGTTGCTCTTACATATTTATTTGTTTATTATTAATAATAAATTGATGTTGTTTACTGTTAAATGGTATGGTCAATTCTGCATATTTGTTTGTCCGTGATTCTACTATTTATTGTCATTGTTTTATTTATTGTTATTGTTTATTTTTCTTTTATTTTTTTGGGTCATATTTTATCTTGCTATTAATTTATTGGGTTTTTCAATTTCATATTGTCTTAGGTTATTATTTTATATGTGTTTATGATTTTCACAATTTTATTAAGTTACATTGGTCAATGAGAAAATCTCTCTGTCAGTTTTGGAGGTCTTTCGATTTTAAAAGGCGGAAAATTTAGTTAAAATATATTATATACTTGTTAAATTTGGTCAATGAAGAAATTACCGTCGATTTTCAAGGCATTTCATGTTCATAAGACGAATTTTTATTTTTAATTTATTATTTGATTGATCCATATTTTATTTATTACTAACACTTTACTAAGTGTCTAAACTCCAAATCATATTTATTGATTTTTTTTCTTTTCCATATGTATATCTATAATATTAAACTTTATTGGGTTGCATTTATTATAGTTTGACTTTGTTTATTGTTATTCGAGCTTATTTTATTTGTTATGTCGCCATTATTCTAGAGGAAGGATAGACACTATATCGCCTATGCACTTTTTGATCATTCATACATGGAACACTAGATGCACCGGAGCCAACTCAATAGGAAATTTCTATTCATAGGCAACACTCCCGATGCGTTTCAAACCCTCATATGACCCTACATACAGGGGACTAAGTTTCCCCTTTTTTCCCAAATCTCATCATCTCTTCATGGGTGATATCTTCAAATAGACCAAGTCACCTACCATAAACTCAAGGTTCCTCTTTCTATTGTCAGCATAAGATTTTTGTCGACTTTGGACCATCTTCAATCTATCCCTTATGAGTTGGAATTTCTCCATAGCCTCATAAATTACTTTGGGACCTATTAGAGCAAACTCACCTACCTCAAACTAGTCAATCGGAGATCCACATCTTCTCTCAAAAGAGCCTCAAAGGGCGTCATGGCGATACTTAAGTGATAGCTATTATTGTATGCAAATTCAATGAATTGTAGATGGTCATCCCAATTACCCTTAAAGTAAATGAAACATTCCCTCAACATATCTTCTGAGGTTTGGATGGTTCGTTTCGCCAAACTATCTATTTATTAATCAAATGTGGTACTAAGTTTTACCTTGCTACCACGCCCGCTGGAATACTTTCTGAAAATGAGAAGTAAATTGAGTACCCCTATCCGAAATGATAGACAATGGAACTCCATGCATTCTTACAATCTCCTTAAGATACCATTTAGCATAATCTTCCGCCGAATAAGTAGTTTTGACGGGAATAAAATGGGTTGATTTGGTCAACCTATGAACAATAACCCAAATCTAATTTTTTTTGCCTTCGTGTACGAGGCAAACCCATAAAGAAATCCATATTGATATTTTCCTACTTCCAAGTGGGGATAGATATATCTTGAATTAACCCTCCCAATCTTTTGTGTTCGGCCATGACTTATTGACAATTCGTACATTTTGCCAAAAAATTTTATATATCCCTTTTCAAAAAATTCCATCAATAGATCTCTTGTAGATCACGATACATTTTGGTGGCACCCGGATGAATAGAATATCGGGAACCATGAGCCTCTCCCAAAATTTGTCTTCTTAAATCATCCACATCCAGCACGCACAATCTACCTTAATACCTAAGTACCCATCCCCTCCTTGGCAGAAGGACTCATTAGATTTACTAAGAACCGATTCCTTCAACTCCATCAATATAGGATCAAGACATTGTTTAGATTTCACCCTCAA